TGATGGTGGTGGTGATGATGGTGGTGGTGATGATGGTGGTGATGATGGTGGTGATGATGGTGGTGGTGATGATGGTGGTAGTGGTGGTTGATGCTTATGTAGCCTGTATGGGTCAGGCTCTGTACTAGTCGTTTCGCATCTTGTTTTATTGTCACACGGACCCAATACTAGCATTACACCCCCTTTACCCATGACGAACCAGACAGACGGAGTAACCCACCCAGGGCCACACAGCTAGGAGACGGGCAGAGCTGAGATTCAAACCCAGACCCTCTGGCCCTAGTGCCGCCTTGCTGGGTACTGAAAGAATGAGATTAAACCTAAATGACCCCTGCACAGGACTGCTCCGGTCTGAAACCATTATTAGCATCACGATGGTCACCATCATTAGGAGTCCTGTCCTGAATGCCACCGGCCTCTGGAAGCTTCTTTCCTTGGTCACTGATTTCAGCCCAGGGCCTCTCCTGGATCAACCAAACTTGCTCTGGCTCCTGGGCCTTTGCACGTGCCATCTTGGCTGCTAGAAACCTCTTCCTGGGACCTGGCTCCTCTTGGTTCTTCCTCTCTCAGCACCCATGGGTGCTTCTTTCTGAGGCCTGTCCTGACACCCCACAACCAAACCCCTTTCTCTCCTGCCACCTGCTTTAAGTCCTCAAGGACTCACTGTGGAAACAGTCCTGCTGCTCACCACTCACCTGCCACCACTCACAGCTCCCCTGGGCGGTGAGCTCTCTTTGGGACCAGGTCCAGGCTGGCGTGGAAGGCTGGCCGAGGCCGACGAGTGAGGAGGCTGGAGAGGAGGGCGGACTGGGGAAGACTGTGAGAAACTGGCTGGTGGCAGGCTAGGAACGGTACCCTGGGTGGTGACAGGCCGAAATCGGAGTCCTGCCTCTGCTGATTCCCACTGTGTGTTCTTGGCCAGGCGCTGCCCCTCTCTGGTCTGAATTTTCATCTGTGCAGTAAGGGATCAGGCAAGATGGTCTCTGAATCCCTGTCCACGTCTGTCCAGGTTGGCTGGGAATGTGGAGTCCCAGACAGACAGGACAGCCCGGTGCCTCGCTGGACCCCAGGTGGGGCATCGTGTGCACTGGGCAGCTTTGGCACTGAGTGGTAATAACATGATGGCGGCACTAAGGGAGATTTATGCAGCCCTTTCCTGACCGTAAGCTCCATGGGCTGCCACAAAAATGAAGCCATTTATCTGAAGACAAGTTCCCTTAATCTGGGGAAGATGGTCTCAGTGGAGAAACGCCTCCCGGCCCTGCAGCCCAGAGGCTCGCTGACGGCTCCGGGTTAATGGAGAGAGAGATTAGGTTCCTCATGAGCTGCTGGGGACGGAGGCTCCTTGCAGCCTGCAGACGTTTTGTGGGAGGCCCCTGGGGCCTGACCATCCACCCGGCCCGGTCAGTCTGTTTCTGCCCAGCGTGCTGCTTGGAGGATGCTCTGGGAGGCAGGAGGATGGGAGGTGGAACCCCAGCTCCTCCCTGCGGGCTCTGAGACTCGGGGCAAGTCATTTCACTGTTTGAGGGCCTCAGTTTCCCTCTCTGTAAAATGGGTTGCTGATCCAATTCAGTGTGATCCTCCAAGAGACCCAGAGAGCCTGGCAAACAGTCGGCACTCAAACACTCCTCCCTCGGCACCACCTGCAGGAGTCCATCCACCTGAGGAGCCATATCTTCAGCTCTTAAAAGACTTCCTGGCTGTCTGGTACAGCTCCCACTTTACAGGAGAAGATGAGCCCTGAAGAGAAGTCAGTGCTGCTGGCCCCGTGGTCAATTAGAGGGTGGCTGAGGAGCCAGGCAAGGTGGCACACGCCTGTGATCCCAGTGACTCAGGAGACTGAGGCAGGAGGATTGCAAGTTTGAGGCCAGCCTCACCAACTTAGACCCTAAGCAGCTTAGTGAGACCCTGTCTCAAAAAATAAACAAATAAATTAAAAAAATGAAAGGGCTGAGGACATAGCTCAGTGGCTAAACACCAGTAGCTATCACTGGTACCAAGATAAAAAAGGTGTCTGAAGAGCCCAGGGGTGCTAGAGGCTGCTTCCAGGTAGCAGTGGGCAGAGCTCGGGAGGAAAGGGGGAAGGGAAGCCATTGTGATTGTGCACGGGGAAAATGGCCTCCAAGCTGGGCAAGCCCGAGCATCCGCTGGGCTGATTAATCCAATCCAGCAACACTCAGCCTGGAGCCCCGGCTCAGAGAGGCTCGCCCTCCTGTCCTCATGCGGTCTCCCTCCCTCCCTTGCCCGCAGATGACCTGGTTCCACATGGACTGTCAGGACCTGGCCACCCAGCTCGGGCTGGGCAAGGCGCAGAGGGCCAGCCCTGCGGACCAGCGCCGCCTCCAACGCTACCTGCAGCGACTGGCCTCCGAGTTCTCGGCGGAGAGGCTCACGGCCATGGGGCTGCAGGTGGCCTCCCTGAGCCAGGCAGGCCTGGGCCAGGGCCCGTGGGAAGAGGCCCAGGCAAGGCACAAGGAGATCCAGGGCCTCCTGAAGAAGGCGCTGGTCCCCTGCCTGTGCCCAGGGGCTCCCGCTGCCTGCCTGTCACACCCAGAGCTAAGAGGGACGGCTACCAAGGGCCCCGGTCTGAATGGCGAAGTCGCTTCCAAGGGGAGGGGGGACCTGCCCCTACAGGACTCTCTGGGGGCGCAGCACCTGCCCAAGCCCTCCTGGCCCCCTCGGGTTACCAGGGGGAAGCAGCCCAGAAGTCCCCAGCCAGGTCCTCCACCCCAGGAGGCCGGCCGAGCTGTAGAGGCCGTCGAGGACAAAGGCCCCCACGAGCTCCCTGAGCCGGCCCCCGAGAGTTTTCTGGCCACCCTCTTCTCCTGGCAGCGGTCCCCCAGGCAGAGCCGGGTCCCCTGCCCCACTGGAGGCAGCTTTTCCTCAGAGGGGACAGACTCACAGACATCCCTGGAGGACTCACCCCAGACAAGCCCGCCGGCATCTCTCTAGCCGGGAGCCCCTGTCAATCACCAGGCTCCGGGGGAGGCCCGGGGAGAGGAGGAGCGGGGAGCCCTGGTGAACCCCATGGAGATGTGCTGGGGAGCCCTGATTTCCCGCATGGCCTGTAGCGGGAACATGAGGACGTGGTCCGGCTCCCAGCACCCGGGAAGTCCTGGTGCAAACACAAGTGCGGCACAGCGAGCCCCGGAGCCCGGTCCAGACCCAATAAAGCACCGATTGGCCCAGACTCTTGCTGTCAGCGGGAAGGCCTGTGGGTCGAGACCCTCCCAAGGCCTCAGGGGTAGGAGCTCAAATGGCCACCTGGAGATCACGCACACGCTCTCCCTTCCCTGTGGGGAGAGCCCGAGTGGCCCGCCGTCTGGGTCTCCCTGAGACGAGAACTGGGGTGTGCATGTGACCCCAGGCACCGCTGCGGGGAAGAGGGAGGCCCACAAAGGCGTTCTCATCAAGCAAATCCCCAGGGGGGCCACCGGAGCTCAGTGTTCCTGGGGACCTCTGGAAGACCAAAGCATGCCCCAGAGCCACCCCCTAGAGGACAGGGGGTGGGTATGTGTCCCTCGACTCCCAGGCACTGGCACGGGTGGACTGCAGGCCATGCTGGCTTCAGGTGCCCGAGCAGCTGTGCCACAAGGGAAGAGCTGCTTCCCACTCCTTCTCCTGGCTCCCCCAAGGGGCTGGGCCGCCTGCTCAGATTCAAGGAACCCCACAGAACCCCGTCCTTGCCTTCCACAGAGAGCCCTCACCTCAGCCCTCCAGATAGATCTCCCCCCACCAAGTCCCAGAATCCGCGTCTCCTGCTTCTTTCTGCGCAGTCTGTCCTGCCTGGTGGCATTCGGTGCTGCGGGAGGGGGTCAGGGCGAATGGGCTTTGTGGTTGGGAGAGAGGAGGAGCACCATCCTCACCCAGCAGCCAGGTGGGGGCGTCAGGGGAAGAGGTCTCTCTGATGGAAGGCAGAGCCTGTGGCCCGTGGCACAGCCTTCCCAGGGCCAGAGTAGCGCCCCCTTGTGCCTCCTCTGAGCATCACTAGGCAGAGGGCGGTCCCCTCCTCTCTGAATCAGACTGCATTATCAGAATGGCCTTCTGGCAGCCTAACGGGATTTTCCTGACCCCGGGAAGAGGGTGGGAGCACACATCCTCCCCCAGTGAGGCATGGAAGCAGGGAGAGGTAGCCTGGAGCATGGCGGCTCTCGGGAGTCCTCTCGGCAGAGAGAACCACACACAGAAGGCCCCAGGTGGCTTCAGGAATCTTCTGTTAGACTCAAGATTCTCCGGGTGTGGAGTGGAGCCTGCCTGCTTCAGAACTGTGAGTGGAGGTGATCAAAAGGCAGTTTCCTAGGAGACACCGCCCCCAGCAACTGAAATCAGACTCTCGGGGCCAGGGATGGCTGGAGTGGTGGCTGCAGTCTGCCCCCGTGACTCCCGGGTCACTCAGTGAAGCGTGGAGGAGCTCAGACTGTGCTGTGCTGCCATCAGAGAGGACGGCGGGATGGGAACTCATAAACAGTGGACGTTCATTTGCTATCGTTCTGGAGACTGCGAGGTCCAAGACGGAGGGGCCCCCCTCCATGGCAGAGGACGTCACCCAGTGAGAGCAGACCAGCGTAAGGGAAGGGGCTGAACTCACCCCTCTGCTGTAAGGAGGCCACTTGGACCCTAATCCCTCCAGGAGGACAGAGCCCCTGTAATCTGGTCACTTCTTAAAGGTCCCTCCTCTCAACCTGGTTGTATTGGGGAGGGGGCTGGAACACACAAACGCTAGGGCATTCAGTTAAACTGTAGCAGGGGGCTGGGGGGCACTCAGGCCCAGCCCCCCACCCCCAGCCAGCTCTGATTCTTGCATCCCATTCCCTCACGTTGCATCCAGAAGGGCCTGAGGATGCATGAGGCATTCGATCAGCCCATCCATGCCTGATGCCTCGGAGGGGGAGTCCAAGATGCTTAAAACACCGTTGCCATAGCAACAGCATCCAGCCAGCAGGGACCACAGGCAGGGAGCAAGGGAACCTGGGGTGCAGGGATGGAAACTGACTTCTGAGAGACCGCAGCTGCTGCTAGAGCTGAGAAGGGCTACAGAGGTCCTCAAGTTCACTTGTTCTTCCCCCCGCCCCGTCTCCAAAAAGAACTATCCCCCCCAAAACCTTTCTACTCACAGCAGTTCCTGGGGGAGAACGGGATGCAGAAATGAAATGTGAATGAATAACAATGTTTTAAAATAATGAAGAATAATAATACTAGCCCTAGCTTTAGGCCTTTAAAAAGATTTCCAGGGCTTGTGGCATGTTTTGCAACAGTTCTGTGAAGCTGGTACTCATTTCACCGTTTCCTGAGGGGGAAACTGAGATTCAGAGTGACTTGGAGGTGTCTTGCCCATGTCACAGGGAGGGACAGAGCTGAAGACACTGAAGCCCTGGACCCCCCTCAGGCTGATTGCTGGGTCTCAGTGGTCACAGATTTGCCCCCTCTGCCATCCTACCATGCCTAGCCAATGCCCCATGCCCAGGGGCCCTGGGAGGGCTGGGCTTAGTCCTCTGGGAAGCACTTGCATCCAGGCCTTCTGTTGCACATGAGGCAGTGTTGCACAGTGGTTAGTGACAGAGGCTCTGGACTGGCCGATTTCTCACCGAGGCTCTACCACTCACATGCGGTGTGTCCTTGGTCAGGTGGTGAGAGTGACCCTTAACCATCTGAGACTTAGGCCATGGTGGGGACTGACCACCAGGGAAGGGGAGCAACCTCCTGGGGCCACCAGCAGCAGGGTAGAAGTGGCCCTGAGACCCCAGGCTCCCAGGATGCCCCCTGCCTGCCAACCCCTCAGACTTGATCAAGGGTTTCCAGCCCAAGACACTCTCTGAGCCTTGGCTTCCTCGCTGTAAAATGAGCACAATAAGGCCTCGGGGACTCGATCACGTCAGCGTCCAGCACTCCCTTAGGAAGACGCCCAGATCCAACCCCTGCTCACTGGAGGGTGTCCCTCTTGACACCAGCCCCACGGCCTCTGCGTTCGTTACCTGGAAACTCAAGGAGGACGTCTCTCCGGGGCCCCACTAAAGGCCTCTCCTGGTTCCCAGGGAGCGTTGCCCTCCTCGAATCACGTGAGTTCATTTCCTGAGTCCCCAGGGTCTCTCCAAGGTCAAAGGGGCCTAATTTATCAGCTTTGGTTCAAACCTTCTCACTGGGGGGCCCAGCAGACAGACCCCACCCATGGGAAATTCCCCCAGGACTGACCGGGCAGCTCTGAGTCAGCAAAACCTCAGCTCCCGAGAGGCAGCCAGGCAGAAACGGAGGCCACAGTGTCCTCCCAGGGGACTTTACAGCCAAGCTCGCAGCCCGTCTGATGGGAAGAGGAGGGACCCCAAGTCTGCCGGAGACGTGCCTGAAACACCCCGGGACGGGAAGCCTTGAACAAGTCCGGGGGGTCGGCAGGCAGGGGGCAGCCTGGGAGCCAGGGGTCTCGGGCCACTTCTACCCTCCAGGCCCCAGGAGCTGCTCCCCGTCCCTGGTGGTCAGTCCCCGCCAGCCATGGTCTAAGTCTCAGATGGCTAGGGGTCACTCTCATCTTGGGAACAGAGAGCCCTCCCTTGAACCCAGGCCTAACAACCTCGGAGGAGAGGGCGGTCCTCGGTTTTCCCCTTCTGTCTGATGGGTTTGAGAAGCTGCTGGGTCAGGGTAGTAAGATCGGATCCCTGAGCCCCGCCCCAGGCCACTTTCCTTTCCAGGGGAGGGGGTGGCCTTGTGAAGGAGCGAAGGCTTGAAAGTCCGCTGGGCCGTGGCGTGGGACAGAGGCAGGATGAACCAGACAGGCACTTTGCAGTTTACCAAGTGCCTTTCTACCCATCTGTCCCCTCATTTGACGTTTCCCTCCACTCGGAGGAGTGCGGAGTCCTTCTCTGGGCCATTCCCACTTTACAGCTGGACGGGGGTGTGACTGGCCGGAGGTCACACGGGCAGGAAAGGGGCTGAGAGGGGGACCCTGAGGCCCACACCTGGTTCTGATCAGCGCCGAGCCCTCCTCTGAGCGAGGCGCCCACTCCCCGGTGCCCGCGAGTCACCCGCTGTGACCCGGTCGGGACAGCTGGCTGGGGTCAAGGCACAGTCTGCCCTGGTTAAACAGAGCCGCTCTGTCTCCAGGGGCTGTGAACTGGCTCCCGGCCCAGGACAGACACGTCTGGCCCCAAACCCCACCCTCTCCCAGATGAAAAATAGCTGTGGGAGGCTGGAGCCCAAGAAGCCCTTCAGAGTCCGTGTCTGACGGGGGTCCCGTCCCTGCCACGTGGGGCTTG